TTTGGGAAGTGGGTTGGCTTTTTTGGCTATTTTAGCCTGGGCTTAAAAGCTTGGTTTGGGAAGGGCTTTTTGACTTTTTGGCTTTTTTGAGTTTTTTTGTAAGAGAATAATGTAATGATTATGGGTTGGATATGATATTTTGTTTGTTAAGGCTAAAATAGCCAAAAAAAGCCCAAGAACCAACTTGCCAAATTATTTTACTCTTTTTGAAATGGTTTGAAAAATCTCACATTGTTTTTTAAAGTGTTACATTGGATGTTACGTTTGAAAAAAAATACGTTAAGAAGTTTTTTTTGTGTCTTACACAACACTTAGGAGTGTTTTTGAAGTGTTATATTAGACTGTTACGTTTGGAAAAAGTATACTAAGGAGTTTTTTTAGAGAGTTATGTTTGAGTGTTACAATTTGAAATTATACATTTGCCCTAATCTTACAAAGGAGTTTTTGCACTCATTTTGAAACATTTGAAGAATCTTATATCCTTTTAGAATGTTTGAAGAATTCCATATTTCAATTCATTTTTATACTCTTTTTGAAATGTTTTCAAATCTCATATATAGTTTGGGAAGTTGGTTTTGGTGGGTTAGGGGCTAAAATAGTCACAAAAAATAAAACATCAAATCCAACCCATAATCATTACATTCCTCTCTCACAAAAAAAATTAAAAAAACTAAAAAGTCAAAAAGTCATTTCCAACCAGGCTTTTTAGCCCTAGGCTAAAAAAGCCAAAAAGCCAACCCGCTTCCCAAACGGAGGCATAAAAATCCATCCCAAATTTGATTATCATAAATTGTATATCTTACCTTTTTAACGCATGTGCGCGTACACACGCACACACACACAAAAAAAAAGTAAATATAATAGAAATAATGATATAATCGTAAATTTAATTTTCAAATAATATATTAAATATACCTTTCCAAAATTAATGAGACTAATTGATTTATAAAAAAAATTTTGAGACTAAATAAATTATCATTCTTCAAGATGGGATTTATAAATAAATTTTTCTAAATAAAAAAGTACTTTTAATTTTTATTTTATGATTATCAACTACTACTTATAACTTAAGAAACATAAATAACTTAAATAAATTAATTGATAAACAATAAGAGATAACTCTTACTTCTTTTATAGAAAATTCAGTCCTCATCCTCAGTTTTCTATTAAACGGCTTTCTTTTCCACCAAGAAACTAGGAAGGAAAAGAAAATGTTCCACAAGTAGTTGACTTGGTTGCCATCTTCAAAGCTCTCTTATTTTTCTTATAAATAATTGAGGAGTATAATACATAAATCTGACAAACAAGTTACTAAGGGTTGGTTTGGGATGTCCTAAAAAAATGAACTTTTTATCTTTTTACGAAAAGATATGCAGAAAAGTAAAGAGATGATGTGATGAAAAAAAGATAAAAAGATAAAAAGATGGATTATATAGTAGATGCCAAACCAAGCCTAAGGCTTCGTTTAATAAGATTTTCTAATTATGATTTAAGAATATAAATTATATTATAAGTTTGTGTGTTTTAAAATTATGATTTGAGTATAAAAAATTTGTTTGGTTTTGATTTTTGAATAAAGTGTTGAATTAAATTTTAAATTGAGTGTGGAATTGAATTTTAAAATTTTGATTTGACATGTGAAGTAAGAAAATTTGTTTGGTTATGAGTTTTGAAAATAATTTTCAAAACTTAATTCAAATTGTCATAACTCATAACAAAACACATTACTTCCACATTATTGAAAATTCTGATCAATACTCATAACCAAACTCTTTGTAAAATTCAATTAAAAAATTTCTTATTAACAGAAAATGACATTAATTAATTTTTTAATTGAAAATACTACAAAGGAAATAATTTTTTTTCAAAATAAATATAAATTAAAAATTTAAATCATAAAAATTTAAATAATTTAAATAATCTAAAAAATTTAATAAGAAAAATTAAAATAAATATTCAAAAAATTTAAATCGTAAAAATTTAAATAATTTAGATATTCAAAAAATTTAAATAATTTAAAATTTTAATATTTTAAATTTAAAAACAACTCTACACTCAAATCATAACTAAACACATAAAACAAAAAATTTAAAAATATTTTTATAAAATAGAGTTTGAATTTATTTTTATAAAATATTTTAAAATTTAAAACATTAAAATCGTAATATTTAAAAATTAAAATATTTAAAAATATTCAAAAAATTAAAAAAATCGTAACATATTTGAATATTAAAATATTTAAAATCTTAACAAAATTAAAATATTTTTAAAATTTTTAAATATTTAAAATATTTGAAAAATTAAAATATTAATTTGAATTGAATTTTGAATTATGTGTTTGGTTATGAGTTTTGAAAAATAATGATTATGTTTTGAATTGAGTTTTGTGAAATGGGTGTATAATTATGATTTGAAAGTTCAAAACAAGTACCACACTCAAATCAAATCATTGAGTGGAACTATAATTTGAGAGGCTTACAAACGGAGTCTAAAATTCTCAAAGGGCACTAATTGTAACCTTCTATTATTATTATTACGTGATTATAATAGGCATAAGTAGATATTAGTGATAAGTTGTGTTATGTACGAGATTTTATGAATTAAAAAAAAATTATTATAATTATTTTAAAATAATTTAATATTTTATCTGAAAATATATATAAAATGGGAGCTTTTTTTATAGAGATTTTTATTGATAAGTCCAATTTAGGAGTGTTTTAATTCAAAAATCTATGAAGAAATTTTTTAACCCATTTAGTCCCATGTATGTATAGTTTTATTTCATAAAGTCCATTTTCTTGATTTACACTATTTTCATGGACACTTATGCCCTTATATTTAATTTTGATACCCTTATAAATATTTTTTCAACGATTAGCAATTTAATGATGTGAACATTCATATTTTAAAATTCACATTTGTAGGAATGTAAATTGGCCAGTGGGCGGCCCGAAACCCGCCCGCGAGCCAGGGTAGGCCCGGCCCATTGACAATGTGAATATTCACCTTGACATGTTAAAATTCACATTAATAGGAGTGTAAAATTGGCCCCCGTCCCGTGGCGGCACGAAACCCGCCCGCGGCCCATGGACGGCC